GTGGCGATCCTGCAGTGAATTGGGTATCTGTCAACTAGTCCCATTTAAGTCTATGTGTCTAGTAGCTTAGTCCTGTCTGTCTAATTATTTCTACTTATGTTAATTTTTGGAGCCCAAACCCCCATAGTAGTTTTTGAATTCCGGCGCCTATGATCCCAATCCTGCTATTCATATACCCAAACAAAAACCCTCTTCAATGTACAGCTAAAGTCTAACGTCAAGACAAAATTAGACGAGAAAGTTTGGCGCTGATGCCAATAGCCTTAATCTGAAGCAGGAGACTCTGGGAATCCCATCAAGGTCTAATTTCTACCCGGAAAATTCCAACTAGTCAGCGATTTAGTGTGTGATGAGGAAACCACACTTGTCTAATTGAACATCAGACACCCCAATCTGACCAACAACTATAATATAGACACAAATTGCCCAATTTAGCTGAAAAACGCATGTCCCAATCCCGGTAAATTCTTGCACCCAATCCTCCCAACCCTCATTTTCTGACATCCCTTACAAACCTCCCCACCTGCATCAAAACCATTACCTAGAGACTCATCAGGTGTCAGGATTGGTCAGGGTGCAGGGCTGTAGAACCCATTCAATCCGTACCCGCGCTTACGCGCACATACCCGAAGCTCACAATTGCTAGTGAGAACACGTTCAGTGAACCCGATCGCCTAACGGCACAACATTTTTGTTTTTTATTTATAACCAAAATTAATGAGAAGTTTGGTTTTTCTATGTTTTTTCCCACAAAACGACCGCTGCGCGCTCTGCAACTCAAACTCTGAGCATTCCACCCTTATTCTCGAGACAGGCCAGTGTAATGACCTAGTACCTAGTGCGCGCCATCCGTAGTAAACTCTGTCTAACCAAAGTTGAACGTTGAGGGTCACTTATTCGAATATATTACAGACGTTGCCTTTTGCTGCTGTCTTTATCGCACGCACACTGTGTTTATCAAACCAAAATAGGTCCGAACGTGTGAATCCTATATGATTACAAGGATGAGTAACTGACCTTTAACGTTCAACTTTGGTTAGACAGAGTTTATTCACCAGCGACATCAGGGTCAAATAATTGACGTTAAAGGGCAACCGGGAAACGTCGTGGAGAGTTGAAACTAGTGATGAGGGATACCGGGATTTTCAAATCACACTGTTAACTGTTACCGTGATTTCTGAATATCAGTGATTTTAAAGCGTGACTTAATCACGATTTCCAATATATATTTAAGCTATAACTGAAACTGATGCAGGCAGGTGCTTGTTTTTTTTCTACTAGCGATTGAGATATTTGGCAGCTAAAATCTATCTAATATCGCGGCGGCAAATCACGACTTGTTGTGGAATTTGAAATTACAAAAAGGAAAAATTATTCTTAAAAGACAAGAAATTAGTTTACCACGTTGCCGTGATCATGTCACGCTTTTTATAGAACTTTGGTAGCAGTCGTGATCCGTGATTTTTAGATATCAGTGATGAAATCACAGTTCGTGATATATCGCTCATCACTAGTTGAAACAGAAAGGATAGAAACAGGGGTTTGCGCCAATAACATCGGCCATGGCTAAGTCGCTAGACCCCCTAAGTGGGAGTGACAGTTACCCTCAAAATTTCAAATGAAAACGGGGGTCGAATGATACGTTATTTGATAGCTATTTTCATTAAGATTATGTCTCCGAAGTTTTAAGTTGCTATTATTTACCCTGTCGAAATGATAGCTTGTCAAAGTTGGGAAAAATCAATGGAAAAATACTGTTTGGTTTTTACCTGTTAACTACGCATAGGTGTGACAGGTAAAAACTATGCAGTTTAGATTATCGAATATAATACCACAAGAGGTTTCAGGATTACCGGATAATACTCCGAAGGAGGAGTGGTGTTGCTGGTAACGCGTTGAGTGTCAGGTAAAAGTATTAGGTAATCCTGAAACATCGAGTGGTATTCAAAAGGTTATACAACTCACTGAACATTATTTCCATATAACACGACAGGCTTAATAAGTGATAAGCCTTTTGGGATTATCGCGCTTGGTGGCAATATTGTTCATTTGCTATTAATAATAATGAAAATTAATATAGTATTGAAGTTTAGTTCGTTGTATAACCTTTTGAATACCACTCGATGTTTCAGGATTACCTAATACTTTTGCCTGACACTCAACGCGTTATCAGCAACATCACTTCTCCTATTTGAAGTCGTGGTGTTGCTGCGTAATGCGTTTCGTGACAGGTAAAAGTATTATTCGGTAATCCTGAAATATCTTGTAGTATTACATTCGATTATACAACGAAATAAACTTTAATACTTAATTTTTTTTTAAAAAATCTATAATGGAATTTGCGCGATAATCCCAAAAGGCTTATCACTTATTAAGCCTCTCGTGTCATATGGGAATAATGTACACTTGGCCAATCATAAAACTGGTACCATCGTCACCAAAAGTAACTGGGACAGCATCACATTAGCTCTTGTCCTATTATATGAATTTTATTGTCAAATATTTTGTCAAACTATGCATTAAATGCATTGAAATGAATGACAGTAGAATTAGTCCAGGAGATTATTATGCAATATTTGTGTCCCAGATACTTTTGGTGACGATGGTACATGCATTTTCCTATGTGTTGTATTGTGTAAATCGACCTTTATTATCAGCTCAAAAATGACAAAAAGAATCAAGTCAGTGTCATCTTTAAATCAAACAAAATGCCACCGCAAATGCATTTGACAATGTCGAATGTCAAAAACTGTCTAACCTGAGTTTTATGAAGAATTTTATTGTTAAGCTAGACTCATACTAGGCAAATTTAAAAAAATAGCTATTGCCTGTAAAGTGTGTTTTTTTTTTAAAGATAATTCCCCAAGTCAAAAATTTAGTAACTATGTTGGCAACACAAGCCTTTTCTACATAAAAAATTTAAAAGCATTGACAATTTTACATTGTATTGCCAACATAATGTCACTTTGACTTTTATCTTTAAAAAAAAAACACACACTTTACCAGTTTTATATTTGGCCAAGTGTAAAATCTGTTTTTTTTTTTAAAGATAAAAGTCAAAATGACATTATGTTGGCAATGCAATGTAAAATTGTCAATGCTTTCAAATTTTTTGTGTAGAAAAGGCTTGTGTTGCCAACAAAGTTACTAAATTTTTGACTTGGGGAATTATCTTAAAAAAAAAAAACAAACTTTACAGTGAGTTGTATAATCGACATAATGCATTTATTCTAACTTTGACATGCCGCCATTTCGGCAGGGTAAATAGTAGCAACTTAAAACTTCAGGGGTATAATTTTAATAAAAATAGCTACCAAATGACACATCACTCGACCCTTCTTTCCATTTGAAATTTTGGGGGTACCTGTTACCCCCACTTAGGGGTTGACAGGTAGGGGGTGAAAATAAACCAAAAACCAATAAAATGTGTTCCCAAAAAAATAAAAATTGACGTGTCTGAGCGATTTTTGATTAAACACCTAACACCTGAGAAACTCTGGGTGGGAAGTTTTTCGTGCCTCACCCTGTATAGTTTAAGGGGGGCCTATCCCCCTTGCCAGTAATGTAAAACTGAGAAATTTTGAAATAAAGATGTTTAAGTTTGAGTTGAGTCATGAATTAATTACTCATATAAAATTAACTTTTCCCTTTATACAAATTCCAATAAACATGTATCATAACGTCAACAATTATGAAACAGAAACGTTTTCGACACGTGTTTGATTTCTACACGTTAAAAATCTAGAAAGCAGAAACACTACTGCACATTTGCCTGGTTGAAACTAATCAGCAGTCACGTTTAATTAGAGAATTTCTAACTCTTTTTTTCTTATAGTCTACCACGGGTATTTTAAACGTGTTCATAAATATTGATAATCGAATTTTGCTTTTAGGTCAAAGCACTTTGTATCCTTGTTGAGTGATTACTACCTCTTCGTCAAAATCCATTAATTATTGCCATTTTCAGTTGAGCTTATTGACTCCAAAAGGAAGATTAATGCAAAGAGATTTTTAACTCTTGGCCCTAATCAGTTTCTAGAAATATATTCCCTCAAAGAAAAACATTTCAACCTCAAATTTGATCGATAACACAACACGGCAAAGTACAAACCTCCGATAAGGGATCTTTATTATTCGAAAATAGCCACACTAGTTGAAAGGGCCATTTTAATTCCGGAACCGAATATAGCGTATTGTAGTTTAATAATAGAATGTATATTTTTTTTTTTACAATTTCTGCACATAATGGTATATTATATACCTAGGGACAATTTAAACTTATGGAAAGCTTTTCGTCCCTAAAGTAGGCACATAAAAACTGAATCGCTACTTTAAACAAATAAACCAATTTCTACAATAATTCCTGCTTATTTTCCTGTGTGTTCTTTCTTTGTGAATATTTCATGAAGCTTAAATGACAAAGGAGGACACGAATTGAACTGACCTGTATTATTTGATTTTTTTTTCCGTGTGCTGCAGTGCAGTGCTGACCTTTCAGCAATTCGAAATATCTAGATTAAATTTGTTCTAATACCTGTACTCCTTTATTTATAATGTTTGAGTAGAAAATGTCAGCCTGCAATTGCAGAGCATTTGAATATTTAACTAGAATACATTTTGTATGAAGGCAAAATAACGTCGCAGCAGTTTTCTCAAACACAAAAAAGGACAGCTCCATACGGAACTGCAATTTTTCTAATTAAAAAAGACCTTTATTTTTCCACAAGTATAAACATTTTAAGCTTTATCACAGTAAATATTTCTTATGATTGGAGTTCTAAAACTAGAAACAAAGTTATGCGAAAACTATTAAAAACTTCCCTCTTCTATGCCAATCCAGTGTGTGCTAAACTTGGACGAAATTGTTTACAAACCACTTAACTTGAAAAAGCGATTCCAGTTTCACAGTGTCGCCCTTTGTGGAGTTTTATTTTTCCAGTTGGCAAATTGACAACACAAAAACACATATCGATTTAGGATAAGAGTTTGAATATTTTTAGGACAATCCAAAGCTCAATTCAACTGATCCACCTTTGCCGTTTCCTTCTTCGTTGCCTTCGAGTGACGCAGCATTTCTAGCAGTCGTAGCAGCCCTAGGACTTCTAGCTGCAATCACAGCAGGTCTACTTTTACACCTTTGCTTTTTCCACATCTACATATCATTTTTGGGGCTCACCACCTACGAATACATCAGACAGCAACGACAAACCAACTTGCAAGTACCTGTACCACTCCAAAGAGACTCAAACAGCGAAAATTTACAAAGCGAAAGCGAAAGGAATTCAGGCTTAAGACACAGGTAATTGTATTTTGTATTAAATTAGATGACATTATTATTATTATGCTTTTTTAGGCCAGTGAATCTAAATTGCGAAGGCAAAACAAGGACAACCTTCTTTAGCTGTACAGTTTTAGAAGAAACCTTCAATTGCAATCCTGAACCAACGCCTACACCTCCTACAACACCCCAAGATTGTCAAATGTGCGTTATGACTAACAATTCGGTAAGAAGTATCTATTGAATTAAGCTTATATAAACACCAGAAATGGAACTCGTGTCGCTTTGAAGTGTTATTAATGCATTGTAACTATAATAGAATTGTATAATGTCATAGGTGGCTCCAGAAATAAAAATCCCTCCAAAAAAAGTACGACGAAAATGGAATTGTTGCGTGTCGGTGCCGGACAGTCCGGACGATCCTCACAGTCCGCCTGAGCCTCGATGTCTCATGTCCTTGTGCAAGCACAAAACGAAAAGCAAAAAGCTACCGGCTGTAATGGAGGGCAGACCTCATAGGACTCACGGCTATTGGTCTAGTGCGAAATTGAGGCTACTTTTTAGAGTTTTAGGTAATTAGATTTTAGTAAATCGATTTTGTTGTTGATGGAGGGTGTTTGCAGGTAATTTAGGTAATCAAAAAAGAAGGCAGCAAGCAACCGGTACGAAATCGAATCATGTGGCACCCAATTCTCCCGTCCCAATACAAACCGTAAGCAATTTGGTACCTGTGCCTTGTTATCCGGAGGTATCCAGAAGAGCTAATTCGTTGCCAGCATTGCAAACAGCTCCTAAAAGGTAAAAAAACCAACAACAATATACCGTCTTTTTGTTTTAATCATTTGCATGCTAAATACATCAAAAAGCAGCTTCCTTCTAGCTTCATGAAAATCTCTCAAATCCTCTTCAAGATTTAGCTTTTCTCTGGCTTCTAGCTCAGCAGGTTCAGGTCCCACTTTCGAATCTGGGCTGACGTGAGTTCGTGGGGACTTTTTGGCAATCGGGGGGCGTTGAAATTGAGGAGGCGAAGCGACGAAAACGTCCTCATCGTCATCAGCAGGAACATTGATGACGTTGTTTTCGTTCGGGTTCAAAGTACCTGGTGGGATTATTATTTTTTGAGGGGTTTGTCGGCCGAATGAGTGCATGTTGATGCTGTACACTGGAAATTTTGACGGTTCTGTGTGTTGACGCGTGTCATGGAAATAACCAGCACACACCTGAGAAAGTTGATTTGCACGCTAAACATCCTGAACAATTTAATTCCTTAGTGTATTTCAAAGTATTCATTGTATGATAGTTCTGTTAATGCCCTAAAAACTTTTTCTTTGACATTTAACTCTACATTCGCCTTCTCATAAGGGTTTCATTAGCTTCAAGCAATTATGAGTGTCATTAGATGTCCATTTCTTTGACTCCGCGCACCTATAAGTGATCTTGGAACAGATTTTAGATGTCCAGATATTATGGGAGTTAATGACCAAGATGTTCAACATGCGTTCTACAGCTTCTTTGCACTCTAAGAATTTTGAATATCATTTCTTAGTGTAGTTCAAAACCGGCACGTTAGCGCTTTCATAAAGGACGACAGGACGCCCTACTCAAAGCCAAGCAACGTGGTATCGGGTTGGAGATTGGATGGGTGACCGCAGTAGTATGGGACGGTGGGTCGACCGCGCTGCCGCCAATCATCTGATCTGCAAGTATGAATGAGAAGTATGAATGGGAAGGAGTAGAGCCCATAGGAATGACATACAAAAAGCCTATAAAAGGCTGCAGTGTAAAGTATGGGCTCGAAAGGGTGAAACCAAAAATCTAAAAAATCTAGTGTAGTTCAAAATATCCATTGCTTTTTTAAATCATTGCATAAAGGTTCTGTTTAGAAACATGTTAGAAACTTGATTTCTTTAGCTTAGCAAGTAACGTAGAGTTCATGGAGTACTCTTTAAAGTTTAGGAACTTGAATTTTGTCATGTAAATTTAAACACTTATGAGTGTCATCAGAACCAATTCCAGATGTCCAGAAGGTGTGAAAATGTCTTACTCTGTTCACTAGCTTCTGTATGCTGTTAAGAGACTTAGGAACTGCACTTGGAATACTCATAAATTTCAATCGAACAGATTCCAAATGTCCATATATTGCTGAAATTGTTTGATGTTCTTCAGCTTCATCGCACTTCAAATTGTAAAAGACCTGGACACATTTCAGGTTCTCCAGAATTACTCCAGGACTACGCATAAATAAAGATTGTCTACGCTCTGATATAAACAACGCGTAGACAATGTAAACTATGTAATCTATGTAGACAACATGTAAAATATTTAGACAACGCGTAAAGTATACAATTTTTGACAGATGTCATGCCTTAAGGTTATGTTTCTGTTTTTGCTTTGTTTTGGTTTTTGCTCTGTAAAGTGAATTAAACCACAGATAATGACTAATTTAAAACAATATAAATTTGATGCAATGCAAACTTTCAAAAGAATAACTCCAATTCCAAATTTTCCGTTGTCTACACTAAGTTTACATTGTCTACATAGTTTACATAGTCTTCATGGAAAAAAGCTGATGTAAACAATACGTAGATAACGAGTAGACAAACCTCGTAAATTAGATTTCATAGTTTATAGCACATCCTTGTCCAAAATTGTTTTTGACACGTTCACATTGCCCATTACCTCTAGGTAAGTAAACCGCTACCTTGATTCAACAAATTCTTTGAATGCTTTTGATATAAATGCATATCCTGAGCTTCTCCTTGGGTTGGCAACATACATACAAGGTAAACATGCAGCTATATATTTTGAAACAATTTTTTTCATTTTAGGAACCCAATACCTCTGTTTAATTTTATCTGAAGTTTTGTCAATAGCAAAATTACCTATATCGTCATGATTTGCTCTGACTATTTGCCATCTACAATTTTTAGGTACTATCCATCTCTTACCATAAGGAGTTAACATATAAACAGTGTTACCACGAAAATCATATTCCTTTAAATACCTTTATGATCTTTAGAATCACCACTTAGCAAAACGTCTTTAATTTCTACAATACTTTGATCTTGATTTTGAGCTTCTCTCAAATAATCGCCTTCTTGAATTAGCGAAACATTATCCACATGATCTAATTGTTCAAAGTTTCTGCTTAAGGCATCCACATGTTGCATTTGAAATCTTGCTTTATGTTCAATAGTATAAGAAAAGTTTTGCAAATATTATACCCATCGAGCAATCCGTGGTATTATAGTTTGTTTATTCAATGCATTTTTAACCGCATTATAATCTGTAATGATTTCAAAATCATAACCAATGGTTTTTGTAGGTATCACGATATCGTCCAAATATGGAATCACGTTAAGACTTCTTAAGGGTGCGAAAATTTCAGTCGTGAACTTTTGAAAAACTGATGGTGCATTACATATTCCAAAAGGAACACATACGAACTCGTACTGTCCTTCTACAGTAATAAACGCCGTATAAGGAATGGATTCAGGATCCATTGGTAGCTGGTGATTATACCATGATGTTAGATCCACAAATAAAAAGGAAACACCGGCTGCAGACATTCAAAAACTTCCTGGACGAATCTGATAATTGCAAAGAGAAAAAACTTACTGACGGTGACAAGCTCAGACTCTTAGTTATTGCGATAATTTCGATAAGGCCATCATAATTCTTGAAGGAATTTATGTTAAGCAAGTTAATGAAGTTTTTACTAGACACATTCTGAATACTAGAAAGCAACAATCGTCCGAAACTATCCATCAGTATGTTCAATCCCTAAAACTACTTTTCAAAAATTGTAATTGCAAAGCAGTGAGATGATTGTATAAGAGAAGCGTTCAATGATGAAATTCGTCAAAGACTTTCCGAAAATTCAACTTTAACATTAGATGAAGCTATAAACAAATCGCGTACCTACTTTGGAAAAGGCCAAGAAGCAAACAACAATATCTTTCACCAAGCTCTTTGTCGTATTGTCCCGAAATGAGAAGGGAATTACCATCTTCTGCCGCTACTATATCTGAAGTTAACTGCTACTTTTGCGGAAATCCCAGACATCATATAAATTAATAAACGACAGTAGCACTCATGCTCTAATAGATAGGTACTGTACTTTCTTGTAATTGGTCATGATATTGTGAAACAATACTGTCGTGTAGAAGTTCAGTTTGGAGAGGACAAACCTCCCTTATTAATTTGCTGCTTGATGGAAGCAAAAGTTGAACCGCCATTATTATTATCAAACCTCACTACAAATTGTAGACCTATCATCACCAAATCACGCAGACACTCAGCTGAGGATGAATATTTTATGAACCAGGAAATGAAGAATTTTTTGGGAGAAAATATTATTGAAGAAAGCAATTCTCCAAGTTTTTAGTCACTCAATAAAAATCGCAAACGACGTAGTATATGTATAGATTATCCACAGATCATCAACAAATTTACTCTACTCCAAAAATTGGAACATTAGTCAATAAGATTTCGAAATATGAAGTGTTTAGCACAATTGATTTGAAAAGTGCCTATCATCAGATACTTATCAAAGAACAGGATAAACCATACACTGCATTTGAAGCTGCTGGAAAGTTGTATCAATTCCGAAGAATACCTTTTGGTGCAACAGATGGAGTTTGGTACTTTCAAAGAGTAATTGACTTAATAATTTCAGAAGAAAAATTGACAGGTGCTTATGCTTATTTTGGATGATGTAACCGTGTGTGGTGAAAATCAATCATGATCAAAATTTGGAGAAATTTCTAGAAGCCGTCAGAAAATGTGAACTTACACTGAATCAAAATAAATGATCATATGCTCAAAAATTAATACATATCTTATCACGTTGACGGACATTCAATTTTATGGCGTGTTGATATTCGGGCAATAGCGGCATATGACGCATGTTGCATTGTGTTTAAATGGACATTGACGGAATATGCCGCGTAAACTTTTTCGGCTCCAGTGGGAGGTAGCGTTATTTGCCGAAGATTTTACATGGTTATGCTCATAGGCTGTCGATCTAGAAACCTAAAAATTTATATTTGAAATGCATAGTAAATTTATTTTTCCAGAACGCAAGAGAAGCAATAATGAGTATTGTAGCGCAATTTGGGGCGTATTTTTTTGTGTTTGGGTATTGTTTCTGCTGTTTTTGGTAGTGTTTGACAAATTCGCAGAGAAAACAGAAAGAAACACCCCGAGAAACACCCTGACCATGCAATCACTGTATTGGGAATAGGGATGGCAACGATACGTCGATTTTTTCAAAACATCGATATATCGAACAATAAACATCGATACAACACAAGTCGATATATCGATTCATCGACATCGATACTATCGTTGTTTAACCTTTAAAATGTATGATTTTTTTTAATACAATTTTTGTTACTCGGTAGTCGGCACTCGGCACTAGTTTCTACCAAATAAAAATCGCTATTCTTGACAGTTTTGGTAAAAAATTGACAGTTGACTTAACGCTGTTGACAGAATGCCTTAGGGCGATTTCTCATGAGCGTAAGTTGACATTTCTGGCGTAATCACATGATAATATGATGAAATCTGATTGGTAAAATCTCCAGCATGGCGAATATTCTACCAATACAATCCAACCATTTTATCACGTGATTCGCCAGAAATGTCAACTTACGCTCATGAGAACTTGCCCTTAACGGAAACGCTGATCCGATCCAAGGATAATACACACTAATACTATACAGGATAACCTATCCTCATAAGGCCTGTGTGGAACAAATCAGAAGCTCCCACACCTCACCACGCCAAATCACCAGTTGTGACGTAGGCAGCATGTCGTGTGTCGCCTTGATGTATGCTGTTTGCACCACCACAGGTTATGATTCCACGGGCTTTTGCTTATTTATGTGGATATGCCTGTCTTATTTTTTAATTTAACTTTTCTAATTGACTCAATTATAATTTTATTTTCAATACCTAAGAAGAAATACTAAATAAAATGTCGCATTTTTAAAAACATCGAACACATCGATGTTTTTAACTCGATGTATCTTATAAATCGATGCATTGCTTTCCGATGTTTATCTATCGATGTTGATACATCGATGTTTTTCCAAAAATTGCCATCCCTAATTGGGAATCCCTACTATGCGATGAGTGTGTTGGTCTGCAAATGCTGCTCTGTTATAATTTAAATAATCATTATTATCTTTCTTTTGTTCCTTCAATAAAATATTTGATTTAACTGATCGAGAAACTTTTCATATAATTGAAAAAAAAAAGTGCGGTATTTCCCGCAAGTGACAAACTACGCACAATATGGTTTTTATTTGGACATGACGTCATATGACGCTTAGATTTTTAGGATTTATGTTGAAAATACTAATCAAAAGACCACTTTTAGTACAAATTAAGTTAATTTATCTTGAAAATTGGCAAAGATATCAAGGTGCGCACAAAAGGTGCGATTTTACACTGTCACCTATAATTTTGGTGTCATTTCTCACAATGGAAGTCTGACGTCAAATGCCGCGGGTGTCGGTCAACGTGTTATTCTACACTATAGAAAACAGATCTATGAAACATAATCCGGAGAGACTTAAGCCACTTTTGAGCTTACCGGTACCCGAGAACACAAGTGAACTTCAGAGAGTACTAGGAATGTTCGCCCATTATTCTAAATGGATACAGAATTTTTCAAACAAAATTAGAATTCTCATCAGCTGTAATGTATTTTCCTTTACTAGAAAATCAAATCCTGAATTTTGAAACGTTGAAGACAGACATTGCAAACTTACTCTTTTGGTCAATAAATGAATATGAAACTTTAGTTGTGGAAACTGATGCATCAGAATTCTGAGCCAATCAGGTAGCTTTTTTCTCAAGGACCTTGTCTGAGTCAGAAAAAAAGCATTCATCTGTAGAAAAAAAAGCGAATGCATGTGTAGAAGCGTTAAGAAAATGAAGACACTATCTAATGGGACATTTCATACTTGTGACATATCAGCAAGTAATTTCGTTTATGTTTGATACTAAATATTGTAGTAAAATTGAAAATGAAAAAATCATGAGATGGAAACTTGAACTAGCTAGATATCATTTATCGGCCTATAGAAACACAGCAGCTAATGCATTTTCGAGAATTTCAGCAAGTTATACAATAGACAAAATGTTCCAACTAAACTGCTGGACAAATGAAACGGAACACGCGAATTTTTAGTTTGGATTGGAATTCCAATATTACGCGAACTAAAAAAGATATCAATGAACGATTTGCGAAAATTAACTTCTAAATTACGCAAATCACTCATTGATATCCTTTTTAGTTCGCGTAATATTGGAATCCAAATCTAAACTAAAAATTTGCTTGTTCCGTTTCATTTGTCCAGCAGTTTACATCAAGATTTGTGTCATCCAGGCATTTCAATAGCCGCACCTGATTAAAGCTACAAAACCATTAGAACGCTAGAAGAAATGGAAAATCGCTGAAGTATCTTGAAGATTACCAGAAAAATTAGCCCGGGCGCATGTGATAAAAAATTATGTTTGCCACTTTTCATGTATTGAATTGTCAATCTGACTTTTAGTTAAATAGGCCGAGTTTGTTTTTGTCATCTTTTTCGTCGATTTGCTCCGTAATTTTGACAGGCACGTGACTGGATAAGACAGTTTAAAGTTACAAATCACGTACCTATTAACATTTCGGAGGAAATCGACGAAAAAGATAACAAAAACGCCAACTCGGCCATTGTTGTCCTTTAATTATGTCATGTTTTTGCTGATTAAAGCCTTGAAATCCGAAGGTTTATTCATTACAGTAGGGCCGTTAGGATGGATGAAACTTAGGGAATGATTAATTTTTAAATGACGAAACCCCTCATTTTCCAAACAGTCATATGCTTTCCAAAAATCTGACATTATATATTAGTTCCTGCTAATATCAATTCTTTGATGACTTCTATGACTGTGTTTTTGTATCCCTCTTTGATACTAGTAAAAACCAGATTACTAGCTTCCAATATAGTAAGGAGGACTGTTATACAAGTTGGTGCTCACTTTGTTATATTGTCAATTTTGAGTTCTTTGTCATTTTTGTCAATATATTTGTCACAGATTATTATTTGTCATATACTGGTCATAGAGGTAGCTACATTTATAAAATAGTATTCATACCAAAACTCTTTCAAATACAACAAGCTGGTCTTGAAACTTTCTCTATGGTTTATGGGATGATGATAGAAACTTTCTCTTGAACTTCTTTAAATTTCCACAAATTCCCTTAATATTTCTTCAAATTTTTCTTTACTTCCTTGGAGGTAAACATTTCTTTGGCGATAAGTAGTTAGATTTGGGAGTTATTCCAGGAAAAAGTTAACCCACGCTCTTAGGGCAAGTTAGCGTATTTGATCCTGGGTTAACCTGGAAATATTTTGTTATTTTTGTCTGCATTTTATGGAAATGTGGTGGTTCTGCTGGCTCAAACTTTGAAATTCTGAAGAGATGGAGGACCTACATAGATTTCAGTGATGATGATCGAGATGTTCTAGAATTTCTAAAACATGAGCGGCGCCACTACCACGTAAGGTTGATGTCAAACCCCTAATACATTTGACGTCTTTGACGATTTTGTATATATGTTTGGGGATTTTTCTTTCAGAAATTTTCTCTTTCAAACAAAATAACATATTTTATACAGAATAGGAGTATACGAAACCGGAAAAAAATAAATAAAAAAAATAACATAAATAAGTAAGGTCATATGAGAAAATGTCAAAAAAAAAAACAATAAAGGTGAGCTGGAAACGTTGCATAAGTATTGCAAACCTTCGAAGAACCCGAGAGTTTACCAACCCTGGGTTAAAGAAGCTTGGATAAACTAGCTTTCGACTTGATTAGGTAGTTAGTTCAGTGTAAGAGTTGACCCAGGGTCAGCAAACTCTGCGAGCTATTCATTCCTTGATTGATAAACCTACCCTAAAGGAGCATTTACATTCACTTCTAACTTCAAGTTAAATTTGATCTTTCATATATCATTCATTCTCAGACTTTTACATTGCAGAACAGAAACGTCAAGTCAAAATGTCAGAATTTTATGAGAATCATGATGAATAATCTAAAAATTTGACATTTCACAAATTCTGCTTGCCCAAATTTCAATGTTAATGTAGATATGGCAAGCATGTCAATTTCAAGATAAATTGGACTTCAAGTGAATGATGTGAATGCAACATTATACTTACATGAAGTCCATTAAGGGCCGGTTTATCAATAGAGGGTTACCCCATGAGTTACAAATAACCTTGGGTCAAAGTTGAGACGAGTGTTTATTCATCCATACGGTCAACTGCTAACTCGAAAGTTAACCCGCACTCTTGTGGCAAGTTATCGTATTTGACCCGAGGTTAACCTCAACATTTTCTCTCATTTTCTATCTGATTTTTTTTTTGAAAAGTGCTGGTTTTGGCTTGAATTTTGATATTGTGAAGAGATCGAGGACCTGGATTTCAGTGATGATAGTCAAGCGATGTTGTAGAATTTCTGGAACATGCATGAGCGGCGCCTCTACCACAGGCACAGGCAGAATATATTTTAATAAAGGGCTGTGGTAGAGGTGTATCGATAAATATGGTAGCGCTGTGTGACTTTGATATGAATGTAAACAGAAAACTCAAGTTGAAACATGCTCCCTGCTTTCTAGCAGCAAGTTGCACGGTCGCACGCATGATATTATATATGCCTGTTCAAATCGCTTTCTGTTTGAATTTTGCTTTGCAAGTGTCAAATTCAAAAGGATGAATATCCGAATGTGTTAATATGTGATTTTTCAGATGGTCTTCTTCATTTAAATTTTGCTTTGTAAGTGTTACGTTCAAAAAATAAAAATCCAATTGTGATAACATGTGCATCTTTAAAACGCTTTTTATTTTAAATTTTGCTTTGCAAGTGTCACATTCAAAAAGATAATTATCCGAATGTGTTAACATGTGCTTCTTCAAAACGCCTTTTGTTTTAAATTTTGCTTCGCAAGTGTCACATTCAAAAGGATGAATATCCGAATGTGTTAACATGCGCATTTTCCAATTGCCTTTTTGTTTAAATTTCACTTTGCAAGTGTCACATTCAAAAGGATAAATATCAGAGTGTGTTAACATATGTGCCTCTTCAATACACCTTTTCGTTTAAATTTCACTTTGCAAGTGTTACATTCAAAAGGATATATATCCGAATCTGTAAACATGTGCATCTTCAAATGACCTTTGGTATGAATATAAACATGGAAAACTCAAGTTGCAACGTGCTCCCTGCTTTCTAGCAGCAAGTCACACGTCGCATGCTACTTTGGTATAAATGCCTTACGGAAACGAAAGTGCCAACCTTCGAAGCACCTGAGAGTTTACCAGCCCTGGGTTAAAAAAGCTTGGATAAACACCTTTCGACTTAACTCTCTAGTAAGCCCAGAGTTAGAGTTGACTCAGGGTCAGGAAACTCTGCGAGTTATCCCTTGATTGATAAACCGGCCCTAAGTAGGTAGTTATTGATTGTTCCTTCTATAGTCGTTGGTGAAAACTATTTGAAACAAATGATTCAATTTAATTCTAATCAAGAATATGATTTCAGTAGGCGTTTGATCAGCGAAACCGAACTAGCCAACGCTCTGACCCTTCTCCAGCAACAACAACGTTGCGGTCGCAGGGCGACGTCGCGTCGACGTCGCAGGAGCGTCGTACACCGACCGAAAACGCCGGCGTTGTCGCCGATTCGAGAAAGCGGACTCAGCAATCCAGCGTCGCCGTCCAGACAAACTTGTGCTATAGCTGGAGCTTGTACGAGGACTAGCTAGTGTTCAAAAACTATATTGAAGTTATTTGAAGAGCAAATATTTTATTTATTTTGTCAATGTATTTTTGTATATGGAGTAAATGTATATTTTGTGAGTAAGGATTGCACAAGTTCAAGCTCTATATGTGAATTTGAGATATGTACCTAAGAGGCTCATAATGTGAAAATGTACCTACCTACCTAATTATGCTTTAATAAAGGTGCTCTTTATTGTTAAGAAACCTGATGTGCTGATATAAAATAATTATTTTGTAGATTATTGTAATATTTTTTTTACACTCATCATTTAGGGCAGGTCTTATAAAACTATTTTGACAGAATAACTAGAAGTTAACTTTAAGTTATATGTTAAATTAGTTTTATAATACCCACTCTTTAGTCATGTAGCACATTTTGTTTATTATTTTCAGGGATAAAAATAGTTGTAGTATAAACCAATTATTGAAGTTAAATTTCATATTGTTACAATTTATATAGATTGAATAATGTACATAAATCGTTTCACCAGGGTTCATACTTTTGATATCAAACACGTAATAACTTAAAAAAAAAAGGGTTGTCGTAGACAAAGAATATTATAGTTACCACTTATAGAAAACCTACGCTTATGGGCGACGGCAGACCGCTAGAGACGCTGCTCCGGTGGTATAAATTGAAATAATTTATATTCGCGCTAGCTTTCCGGCAAACAAATCTTAGCAGCGTTGCGCGCTCCTCCTCTCGGGTATTTAGTATTTACTGTGATTTTACCTTGTAAGATGATAGCCTAACTGGCGCAGCGGTTTTAGAATATTATTTTTTACATCGACATTATTAGATTATATGTAAAAAAAACAAAAGTTACAATAAATCATATAATAGACATTCCTAAAATAATACAGTTGCTACTGCATACCTTGTTGCTATGTTTAATTTGCTGTATTGAGGAAATAAAATCGGCCTTCTAAATAGGTAATGCAATTTAATATAAAAGAAACATTTATTCTGATATTATGGTATTTGGACCATCATTATAAAATCTTTGCGTATTGGAAATTTTTTTTCCCACTTGTTAGGTAAATAACCATTTTTTATGAGCGTGCGGAAAAGTGAACTAATTTTTAGGTATACAGGTACTTACAGGTAAACAGGTATACTACAGGTACAGAGGTACAGAAAAGTGAAAAAAAATATATCTTAAATTGATAAATATGTAGATAAAAATATTACCTCTCATCTCGTAGAAAAAATAGTGTTCCTAACTCGTGTGGAAAGTCTCTTTTCCGCACTTGATTGCTTGCTGTAATCGCGTGCGGAAAAGTGGTACTTTCCGCATTAGTTAGGAAATATACTATTTTAACTTAGAATATAGTTTATTCAGTTATCCGAAAATATATAAATAAATTTCTCAGTTTCTTGAATTTCAAAACCTAAGTTTTTGAAATTTTCCTATAATGAGCTCCATACTTTCCTCTCTCTCGTGGAAAAATTTCGAAATTTTCCCTTTGCCAGTTTTCCAGAAAAAAATTAAAATGCAAAAGGTGAATTTTTCTTTAATAAGTCCATTTTCCAGAATTTTTCCTAGAGTCATTTTTCATTGGAAATTTTTGAAATTTTTCTACAATATGAGCTTTACACTTTCCTCTCTTTCCTGGAAAAATTTCCAAATTTACCCTTTGCCAGTTTTCCAGAAAAAAATTAAAATGCAAGAGGTGAATTTTCCTTAATTTTGCTTAAATAAGTCAATTTTCTGGATTTTTTCCTGGAGTCATTTTCTATTGGAAAATTTTGAAATTTTCCTATAATGAGCTCCATACTTTCCTCTCTTTCGTGGAAAAATTTCGAAATTTTCCCTTTGCCAGTTTTCCAGCAAAAAATTAAAATGCAAGAGGTGAATTTTCCTTAAATAAGTCCATTTTCCAAAATTTTACCTGGAGTCATTTTTCATTGGGAAATTTTGAAATTTTCCTATAATCAGCTTTACACTTTCCTCTCTTTCCTGGAAAAATTTCAAAATTTACCCTATGCCAGTTTTCCAGAAAAAAATTAAAATGAAAGAAGTCAATTTTCCTTAATTTTGCTCAAATAAGTCAATTTTCTGGATTTTTTCCTGGAGTCATTTTCTATTGGAAAATTTTTAAATTTTCCTAAAATGAGCTCCATACTTTCCTCTCTCTCGTGGAAAAATTTCGAAATTTTCCCTTTGCCAGTTTCCCAGAAAAAAATTAAAATGCAAGAGGTGAATTTTTCTTAAATAAGTTCATTTTCCAGAATTTTTCCTAGAGTCATTTTTCATTGGAAAATTTTGAAATTTTCCTATAATATGAGCTTTACACTTTCCTCTCTTTCCTGGAAAAATTTCCAAATTTACCCTTTGCCAGTTTTCCAGGAAAAAATTAAAATGCAAGAAGTGAATTTTCCTTAATTTTGCTCAAATAAGTCAATTTTCTGGATTTTTTCCTGGAGTCATTTTCTATTGGAAAATTTTGAAATTTTCCTATAATGAGCTCCATACTTTCCTCTCTTTCGTGGAAAAATTTCGAAATTTTCCCTTTGCCAGTTTTCCAGCAAAAAATTAAAATGCAAGAGGTGAATTTTCCTTAATTTTGCTTAAATAAGTCAATTTTCTGGATTTTTTCCTGGAGTCATTTTCTATTGGAAAATTTTGAAATTTTCCTATAATGAGCTCCATACTTTCCTCTCTTTCGTGGAAAAATTTCGAAATTTTCCCTTTGCCAGTTTTCCAGCAAAAAATTAAAATGCAAGAGGTGAATTTTCCTTGAATAAGTCCATTTTCCAAAATTTTACCTGGAGTCATTTTTCATTGGGAAATTTTGAAATTTTCCTATAATCAGCTTTACACTTTCCTCTCTTTCCTGGAAAAATTTCAAAATTTACCCTATGCCAGTTTTCCAGAAAAAAATTAAAATGAAAGAAGTCAATTTTCCTTAATTTTGCTCAAATAAGTCAATTTTCTGGATTTTTTCCTGGAGTCATTTTCTATTGGAAAATTTTTAAATTTTCCTAAAATGAGCTCCATACTTTCCTCTCTCTCGTGGAAAAATTTCGAAATTTTCCCTTTGCCAGTTTCCCAGAAAAAAATTAAAATGCAAGAGGTGAATTTTTCTTAAATAAGTTCATTTTCCAGAATTTTTCCTAGAGTCATTTTTCATTGGAAAATTTTGAAATTTTCCTATAATATGAGCTTTACACTTTCCTCTCTTTCCTGGAAAAATTTCCAAATTTACCCTTTGCCAGTTTTCCAGGAAAAAATTAAAATGCAAGAAGTGAATTTTCCTTAATTTTGCTCAAATAAGTCAATTTTCTGGATTTTTTCCTGGAGTCATTTTCTATTGGAAAATTTTGAAATTTTCCTATAATGAGCTCCATACTTTCCTCTCTTTCGTGGAAAAATTTCGAAATTTTCCCTTTGCCAGTTTTCCAGCAAAAAATTAAAATGCAAGAGGTGAATTTTCCTTAATTTTGCTTAAATAAGTCAATTTTCTGGATTTTTTCCTGGAGTCATTTTCCATTGGAAAATTTTGAAATTTTCCTATAATGAGCTCCATACTTTCTTCTCTCTCGTGGAAAAATTTCGAAATTTTCCCTTTGCCAGTTTTCCAGCAAAAAATTAAAATGCAAGAGGTGAATTTTCCTTGAATAAGTCCATTTTCCAGAATTTTACCTGGAGTCATTTTTCATTGGGAAATTTTGAAATTTTCCTATAATATGAGCCTTACACTTTCCTCTCTTTCCTGGAAAAATTTCAAAATTTACCCTTTGCCAGTTTTCCAGAAAAAAATTAAAATGCAAGAGGTGAATTTTCCTTAAATAAGTCCATTTTCCAGAATTTTACCTGGAGTCATTTTTCATTGGGAAATTTTGAAATTTTCCTATAATGAGCTTTACACTTTCCTCTCTTTCCTGGAAAAATTTCAAAATTCACCCTTTGCCAGTTTTCCAGAAAAAAATTAAAATGGAAGAAGTGAATTTTCCTTAATTTTGCTCAAATAAGTCAATTTTCTGGATTTTTTCCTGGAGTCATTTTCTATTGAAAAATTTTGAAATTTTCCTATAATGAGCTCCATACTTTCCTCTCTCTCGTGGAAAAATTTCGAAATTTTCCCTTTGCCAGTTTTCCAGCAAAAAATTAAAATGCAAGAGGTGAATTTTCCTTAAATAAGTCCATTTTCCAGAATTTTCCCTGGAGTCATTTTTCATTGGGAAATTTTGAAATTTTCCTATAATGAGCTTTACACTTTTCTCTCTTTCCTGGAAAAATTTCAAAATTCACCCTTTGCCAGTTTTCCAGAAAAAAATTAAAATGGAAGAAGTGAATTTTCCTTAGTTTTGCTCAAATAAGTCAATTTTCTGGATTTTTTCCTGGAGTCATTTTCTATTGGAAAATTTTGAAATTTTCCTATAATGAGCTCCATACTTTCCTCTCTCTCGTGGAAAAATTTCGAAATTTTCCCTTTGCCAATTTCCCAGAAAAAAATTAAAATGCAAGAGGTGAATTTTTCTTGAATAAGTCCATTTTCCAGAATTTTCCCTGGAGTCATTTTTCATTGGGAAATTTTGAAATTTTCCTATAATATGAGCTTTACACTTTCCTCTCTTTCTTGGAAAAATTTCTAAATTTACCCTTTGCCAGTTTTCCAGAAAAAAATTAAAATGCAAGAGGTGAATTTTCCTTAATTTTGCTTAAATAAGTCAATTTTCTGGATTTTTTCCTGGAGTCATTTTCCATTGGAAAATTTTGAAATTTTCCTATAATGAGCTCCATACTTTCTTCTCTCTCGTGGAAAAATTTCGAAATTTTCCCTTTGCCAGTTTTCCAGCAAAAAATTAAAATGCAAGAGGTGAATTTTCCTTGAATAAGTCCATTTTCCAGAATTTTACCTGGAGTCATTTTTCATTGGGAAATTTTGAAATTTTCCTATAATATGAGCCTTACACTTTCCTCTCTTTCCTGGAAAAATTTCAAAATTTACCCTTTGCCAGTTTTCCAGAAAAAAATTAAAATGCAAGAGGTGAATTTTCCTTAAATAAGTCCATTTTCCAGAATTTTACCTGGAGTCATTTTTCATTGGGAAATTTTGAAATTTTCCTATAATGAGCTTTACACTTTCCTCTCTTTCCTGGAAAAATTTCAAAATTCACCCTTTGCCAGTTTTCCAGAAAAAAATTAAAATGGAAGAAGTGAATTTTCCTTAATTTTGCTCAAATAAGTCAATTTTCTGGATTTTTTCCTGGAGTCATTTTCTATTGAAAAATTTTGAAATTTTCCTATAATGAGCTCCATACTTTCCTCTCTCTCGTGGAAAAATTTCGAAATTTTCCCTTTGCCAGTTTTCCAGCAAAAAATTAAAATGCAAGAGGTGAATTTTCCTTAAATAAGTCCATTTTCCAGAATTTTCCCTGGAGTCATTTTTCATTGGGAAATTTTGAAATTTTCCTATAATGAGCTTTACACTTTCCTCTCTTTCCTGGAAAAATTTCAAAATTCACCCTTTGCCAGTTTTCCAGAAAAAAATTAAAATGGAAGAAGTGAATTTTCCTTAGTTTTGCTCAAATAAGTCAATTTTCTGGATTTTTTCCTGGAGTCATTTTCTATTGGAAAATTTTGAAATTTTCCTATAATGAGCTCCATACTTTCCTCTCTCTCGTGGAAAAATTTCGAAATTTTCCCTTTGCCAATTTCCCAGAAAAAAATTAAAATGCAAGAGGTGAATTTTTCTTGAATAAGTCCATTTTCCAGAATTTTCCCTGGAGTCATTTTTCATTGGGAAATTTTGAAATTTTCCTATAATATGAGCTTTACACTTTCCTCTCTTTCTTGGAAAAATTTCTAAATTTACCCTTTGCCAGTTTTCCAGAAAAAAATTAAAATGCAAGAGGTGAATTTTCCTTAATTTTGCTTAAATAAGTCAATTTTCTGGATTTTTTCCTGGAGTCATTTTCCATTGGAAAATTTTGAAATTTTCCTATAATGAGCTCCATACTTTCTTCTCTCTCGTGGAAAAATTTCGAAATTTTCCCTTTGCCAGTTTTCCAGCAAAAAATTAAAATGCAAGAGGTGAATTTTCCTTGAATAAGTCCATTTTCCAGAATTTTACCTGGAGTCATTTTTCATTGGGAAATTTTGAAATTTTCCTATAATATGAGCCTTACACTTTCCTCTCTTTCCTGGAAAAATTTCAAAATTTACCCTTTGCCAGTTTTCCAGAAAAAAATTAAAATGCAAGAGGTGAATTTTCCTTAAATAAGTCCATTTTCCAGAATTTTACCTGGAGTCATTTTTCATTGGGAAATTTTGAAATTTTCCTATAATGAGCTTTACACTTTCCTCTCTTTCCTGGAAAAATTTCAAAATTCACCCTTTGCCAGTTTTCCAGAAAAAAATTAAAATGGAAGAAGTGAATTTTCCTTAATTTTGCTCAAATAAGTCAATTTTCTGGATTTTTTCCTGGAGTCATTTTCTATTGAAAAATTTTGAAATTTTCCTATAATGAGCTCCATACTTTCCTCTCTCTCGTGGAAAAATTTCGAAATTTTCCCTTTGCCAGTTTTCCAGCAAAAAATTAAAATGCAAGAGGTGAATTTTCCTTAAATAAGTCCATTTTCCAGAATTTTCCCTGGAGTCATTTTTCATTGGGAAATTTTGAAATTTTCCTATAATGAGCTTTACACTTTCCTCTCTTTCCTGGAAAAATTTCAAAATTCACCCTTTGCCAGTTTTCCAGAAAAAAATTAAAATGGAAGAAGTGAATTTTCCTTAGTTTTGCTCAAATAAGTCAATTTTCTGGATTTTTTCCTGGAGTCATTTTCTATTGGAAAATTTTGAAATTTTCCTATAATGAGCTCCATACTTTCCTCTCTCTCGTGGAAAAATTTCGAAATTTTCCCTTTGCCAATTTCCCAGAAAAAAATTAAAATGCAAGAGGTGAATTTTTCTTGAATAAGTCCATTTTCCAGAATTTTCCCTGGAGTCATTTTTCATTGGGAAATTTTGAAATTTTCCTATAATATGAGCTTTACACTTTCCTCTCTTTCTTGGAAAAATTTCTAAATTTACCCTTTGCCAGTTTTCCAGAAAAAAATTAAAATGCAAGAGGTGAATTTTCCTTAATTTTGCTTAAATAAGTCAATTTTCTGGATTTTTTCCTGGAGTCATTTTCCATTGGAAAATTTTGAAATTTTCCTATAATGAGCTCCATACTTTCTTCTCTCTCGTGGAAAAATTTCGAAATTTTCCCTTTGCCAGTTTTCCAGCAAAAAATTAAAATGCAAGAGGTGAATTTTCCTTGAATAAGTCCATTTTCCAGAATTTTACCTGGAGTCATTTTTCATTGGGAAATTTTGAAATTTTCCTATAATATGAGCCTTACACTTTCCTCTCTTTCCTGGAAAAATTTCAAAATTTACCCTTTGCCAGTTTTCCAGAAAAAAATTAAAATGCAAGAGGTGAATTTTCCTTAAATAAGTCCATTTTCCAGAATTTTACCTGGAGTCATTTTTCATTGGGAAATTTTGAAATGAGCTCTTCACTTTCCTCTTTTTCTCCTGTAAAAATTTCAAAATTTTCTCATTGCCAGTTTTCCAGAAAAAAAATTAAAATGTAAGAAGGTAAATTTTTTTCAATTTTGCTTAAATAAGTCAATTTTCCAGAATTTTTCCTGGAATGATTTTCCATTTGAAAATTTTGAAATTTTCCTATAATAAGCTCCTCACTTTCGTCTTTCTCCTCAAAAAATTGCACAATTTTTACTTGGCCAGTTTTCCAGAAAAAAATTGAAAAACTTTGATATTTTTGTAAGAAACTCGAGTTCGAACTGCGCTTATCGTCTAGCAATTTTTCAGCGATATTTTCAAGACAAAAGCTTCCATTTTTTTCCCTCATATCGTGTTTTTTCACATCAGCGCGGTCACCGTTTTAAAGTTATTATACATATATATATGGACATATGGCAACGCCGACTAGCCCTCAACTGGAGCCACGTTGATTACGGCGAGCCTACCACTCTGATGGAACCCGGCTCGAAAAGTCTGGCTCTATTCAGGGGCCAGGGGGTCAAAAAATATACATGGAATAGGTTTTCTATAGGTGTTAACTATAATATTGTTTGTCGTAGATTAATTCATATGTTTATTCGATTTTTTTGACAAATTAAAATGAATGACTCCTGGTTTAAGAATCGACGAACGTTTTTGACGTCATTGATTTGTTTCAGTCAATTCTTATTTGTTAAAAAAGTATAAACCCTCGTGAAACAATGGGTACATTCAGGCAGTGCCAGCAACTAAGCTTACCCACTCAGCAGGGACTTTATTCTCGAAATCGAGGAATAACGTTTTCATGAGAACGATTGCTCTGTCATTGTCAGTTTTATGGAAATATGAATACGGACGACGAAGTTCTCATGAGAACGTTGCTTCCCTGTTTCAAGAAGAAAATCCCTGCCGAGTGGCTGCACTTAGCCGCCTGAATGTACCCAATGATTACCAAGATTTGAATTATATATTGTTCAACAAGTGCAAAAGTACAAACTTTGTTGAATAAATAAAAGGGTCGTTATATATTTATAAAGTTTTTGAATCAAACAAGCCTTTTTCATAGATAAAAAATCCCATCTTTATTTCATAATAAAATTTATACAAGTTTTGAACCAAATCTTTTAAAGCTATTTCTTTAAAAATTACTATTGCTACATAAATATTATTACAATACAAAAAAAAAAAAACACAATAAATATCACATGTACAGAATATCAATTTATAAACTACTGAATCATCTGCAAGTATCGATTCTCCTCTAACAACGAGCTCAGCGACGACGTCATGTCCCCAACAACCATATTCGTATTGGGATTTGGATCACTAGAAGCGTTCCAACTTTGACACGATTGTACATACTCCAAAGTGCGCTGATAAGCATCTGGCCGCATCGGAGGAGCTTCACTGTACGTCGAAGGAGCCAAAGCACCCGCCGCTGGAGATGGCAAAGCATTCTGAGCCTAAAAATAATCACAATAATTATCCAAACAATAAAAATCTAAATCAATTACCTGTTGATAATTATTATGCTGTTGCTGTTTGTTGTAATAATCACAATGAGTATTATTCATTTGCATAGAATGGCACTGAGTGGGTGCGTAGACGTGCTGATGTCCATTGCACATGTGGTTCCGAGTCTGTATTGGTACATTATTGCTGTTGCCGCACCAATGAGGTGCTGACCCGTAGCATTTTGGTTGCTGTTGTTGTTGCATTGGCCTTAAAAACATAATCAAATTAAGTTTCTGTAATTAGTTTTATAATTAATTATTTATACCTGTTGTAGCAAGAGGTTTGTGATTGTATTATCATGTTGTGCTGATGATGGCAAGGGTTATGAGGAGTTAGCATTCCTTGACAATGTTGTTGCGGCATTGAAGGAGTAGCGGCATGCGGTGGCGACATCATTTGATTGGGAGGACATCGGGCTGACATTGGAGAACCAACCATTTGGTTGTAATTTGGAGAAGCCATATTACCAACAGCGGGAGACAGTGCATTATATTGAGCATCATTATAAATTGAGTTTGGAGAAGGCATTACCTAAACAAAACAATTAATATTCAATAATTTAAATTATTTAATCAAATTACTTGATAGCTCAATCCTTGAGGTGACATGATGTTATGATGTTCCAAATTACTAGCCGGACTAGACATCATTTGATTATTGGCTCTAGGTGATAATATTTGTCCAATAACAGGCGACATTGGTTTGTGGTAGTTGTTCATTGTAGGAGATGGCACCATTGTATTAGAAGGACTCGGCAGTGGTTCAGATATCGTATCCGCTGGCCAAGTTTGTTGGTCGGCGACTTGGTTCAAATATTGCAGCACTTCGTCTGGTAATACAAGTTTGTTTTCGACCATTTCGTTTTCGGCAACTTCGTCCAACTGCACTGCTTGGTTGGGGTGGAGCTCAGTGGAGCTTTGAACTCTTCTCAGAGGCGGCGGGCTCACGTGTCTTTGAGGATCCAGGCCTGGCCGAGATGGTTCGGATGCTCTTCGAGCTTCAGAGCTGGTTGTGGAAGCCCACGGGGTTGGTTGTGTGGCAGGCAATTGTTGCAAGTTATTGGATTGGGTTTGTAAAACTAAATTACTAGTTGGGCCTTGGGTTTGTAGTCTCTGAAGTTGGCCAGCTAGTAGGTGAGAAGAAGGCGGAGGCGGTAGACATTGGCCTCCAGTGGTTGCTGTTGATAATTGGCTGGATCTTCGTGAGCTTCCGGCCGAAATTGGGTCGTAAAATGAGCCAGGACTTTGATTTAGACGCATGTTGGACACTTGTGAAGCCAAGCTACTTTTTCTGCTCATGTCAGCGCTGCGCATACTGCCGTAATAGGAGCTAACTGTTGAATTACTATCGCGTCTTATTTGAGCTGGTTGTTGAGTTATGGCAGGCTGCAGTCGTTGTTGTAGCTCAGTGAGCTGAGTCTTGGTTTGAGCTGGTTGTGTGTTATCCATTCGCAAGTTGGTGATGCGCGTGTTTAGATCGGCTATTTTACGTTGTTGCATTGCAGGGTTTCTAGGCCTGCCCACTGGTTTTCTAAGTCGCGGTATGCCTATTCCAGTAGGTGCTGTTCCGCCACCTACCAAAGCTCTTAGCACCACCGGGAGTTCTTCCAACTCTAAATCTTCTGCTTCCGCAGTCCAATCTTCTAGAGTATCTGTTGTACCGGGAGTTGTAAGCCTCATGGTGTCCATGTCTTGAGCACCAATAGGACTATCTTGAGCTTGAGGCGAGTGCACGTCAGACTCGCTTTTGACAGAAGGACTGCTCAGGCTGGTCGTTTTGGCACCATCGTCACTGCGAGGGGAGGCGTCCAATTGACCAGCAGAGCCTCCAGAACCATCTTCGTTGCCGCCCTTATGCTTTTTGCTAGCGTAAAACTCTGCGCCGTGAACTGTTTTGACGTGTTTGCGCAGCGATGAAGGATCAGTGTAACGTTTGGTACAACCGGGAGCTTTACAGACATAAGGTTTCTCATTGCTGTGAGTTCTATTTTGATGTTTGGCTCTATCTGAAGCATTACTAAACGCCTTTGAGCATCCGGGATACTCGCAAGTGTAAGGTTTTTCGCCGGTGTGAGATCGCAAATGTGTCTTTAAATTTTCCAGTCTTGAGTAGGCTTTTATGCATCCCTCGAACTATAACAATTAATTTGAGCAAATTGGAATTAAAAAAAAAAAAGGTCAATTGCTTACTGTGCATTTGTGTGGTTTTTCTCCGGTATGTCGGCGCATGTGCACCACCAGCATGTATTGGGCTTTGAAAGGTTTTTCCGCCCTTGAGCAACCATCCCAACGGCACACGAATGATTTTTTGTTGGCGTGAATGTGGTCATTGTTTATGTGCTAAAAAAGTTATTATTATTTATTGCAATAATTACAAATTAATAAAATTTACCTTGACTAGTTCGTCTTGAGTGCTAAATTCAGTACCGCAATCTTTCCAGTGGCAATTTGTTTCAATAAAATCACCAGGTTCGTCTCTGAGATCAACTTGCTCCCCGCTACCATCAGGAGGATTATTGTTTAACAAAGTCTCTTTTTTAACTTTATTATTGTGATGATGTTTCCGACTTTCCACATCTATTAACGGACTATTCAAGTCTGTTTTCCTTCTATCATTTAAATTCTACAAAATAAAATTGTTTTATTGTAATATCTATTAGTAGAGTGCTTCTTTTAGAGACTTCTGTGGGCGCGTCGGAGTTGCAAGCTGAAATAATTTTCACCGTAATATTTGATTAATCACAAGAGCCGGACAAAATTAGTGGAAAACAATCCTGACATCAATTTCAAATGCCCATATTAAGCAGAAAATCCTATTTTTGGTTCTGGAAAATTTTTGAAATCTTGATATAATCATGAATAATTGCCCATATATTTGGTAAATTTCAAGCAAATTGTAATAAATTATACAGCATTGGAAAGAGCATTAAATTCTCTATAAATCTGTGCAAAATTGAGTTTGATAGCTTGAATAGTTTTTGAGCAATTGAGCCTCAAAGTTAACTTTTAGTCCAAATTTTGTCAAAAACTTCAAACTCAATTTGCTCAAAAACTATAAATTTGGAAATATTGTTAATTACAGGTCATTTAGAACTTAATAAAAGCTACAAATTCTGGAAATTTTAATGCAATTTGCTCAAGGATTACCGAGCAATTGAGGTTTGAATATTTTGAAATCAGAATTCAAAGGGGATACCCTTATGAAAAATTCGATTTTTTTATTTTTTAGTTTTGTTGAATTTTGACTTTATGAATCGATAGAGCGGGTCAAAATTAGTGGAAAACAACCCTGATATCAATTCCAAATGGCCATTTTAAGCAGACACAAAAATAAAAAGAAAATCTTATTTTTGGCTCTGGAAAATTTTCAAAATCCTGACATGGTCATGAACAATTGCCCAAATCTTTGGTAAATTTCAAGCAAATTGAAATAAATTGTACATCATTGGAAAGAGCATTAAATTCTCTATAAATTTGTGCAAAATTGAGTTTGATAGCTTGAATAGTTTTTGAGCAATTGAGCCTCAAAGTTAACTTTTAGTCCAAATTCTGTCAAAAACTTCAAACTCAATTTGCTCAAAAACTATGAAGTTGGAAATATTGTTAATTATAGGTCATTTAGAACTTGATAAAAGCTACAAATTCTGGAAATTTTAATGCAATTTGCTCAAGGATTACCGAGCAATTGAGGTTTGAATATTTTGAAATCAGAATTCAAAAAGGATACCCTTATGAAATATTCGATTTTTTTATTTATTAGTTTTGTTGAATTTTGACTTTATGAATCGATAGAGCGGGTCAAAATTAGTGGAAAACAACCCTGATATCAATTCCAAATGGCCATTTTAAGCAGACAGAAAAATAAAAAGAAAATCTTATTTTTGGCTCTGGAAAATTTTCAAAATCCTGACATGGTCATGAACAATTGCCCATATCTTTGGTAAATTTCAAGCAAATTGAAATAAATTGTACATCATTGGAAAGAGCATTAAATTCTCTATAAGTTTGTGCAAAATTGAGTCTGATAGCTTGAATAGTTTTTGAGCAATTGAGCCTCAAAGTTAACTTTTAGTCCAAATTTTGTCAAAAACTTCAAACTCAATTTGCTCAAAAAATATGAAGTTGGGAATATTGTTAATTACAGGCCATTTAGAACTTAATAAAAGCTACAAATTCTGGAAATTTTAATGCAATTTGCTTAATGGTTACCGAGCAATTGGGGTTTGAATATTTTGAAATCAGAATTCAAATTATGAAAAATTCGATTTTTTTATTTTTTAGTTTTGTTGTATTTTGACTTTATGAATCGATAGAGCGGGTCAAAATTAGTGGAAAACAACCCTGATATCAATTCCAAATGGCCATTTTAAGCAGACACAAAAATAAAAAGAAAATCTTATTTTTGGCTCTGGAAAATTTTCAAAATCCTGACATGGTCATGAACAATTACCCATATCTTTGGTAAATTTCAAGCAAATTGTAATAAATTGTACAGCATTGGAAAGAGCATTAAATTCTCTATAAATCTGTGCAAAATTGAGTTTGATAGCTTGAATAGTTTTTGAGCAATTGAGCCTCAAAGTTAACTTTTAGTCCAAATTTTGTCAAAAACTTCAAACTCAATTTCCTCAAAAACTATAAATTTGGAAATATTGTTAATTACAGGTCATTTAGAACTTAATAAAAGCTACAAATTTTGTAAATTTTAATGCAATTTGCTCAAGGATTACCGAGCAATTGAGGTTTGAATATTTTGAAATCAGAATTCAAAGGGGATACCCTTATGAAAAATTCGATTTTTTTATTTTTTAGTTTTGTTGAATTTTGACTTTATGAATCGATAGAGTGGGTCAAAATTAGTGGAAAACAACCCTGATATCAATTCCAAATGGCCATTTTAAGCAGACACAAAAATAAAAAGAAAATCTTATTTTTGGCTCTGGAAAATTTTCAAAATCCTGACATGGTCATGAACAATTACCCATATCTTTGGTAAATTTCAAGCAAATTGTAATAAATTGTACAGCATTGGAAAGAGCATTAAATTCTCTATAAATCTGTGCAAAATTGAGTTTGATAGCTTGAATAGTTTTTGAGCAATTGAGCCTCAAAGTTAACTTTTAGTCCAAATTTTGTCAAAAACTTCAAACTCAATTTGTTCAAAAACTATAAATTTGGAAATATTGTTAATTACAGGTCATTTAGAACTTAATAAAAGCTACAAATTCTGTAAATTTTAATGCAATTTGCTCAAGGATTACCGAGCAATTGAGGTTTGAATATTTTGAAATCAGAATTCAAAGGGGATACCCTTATGAAAAATTCGATTTTTTTATTTTTTAGTTTTGTTGAATTTTGACTTTATGAATCGATAGAGCGGGTCAAAATTAGTGGAAAACAACCCTGATATCAATTCCAAATGGCCATTTTAAGCAGACACAAAAATAAAAAGAAAATCTTATTTTTGGCTCTGGAAAATTTTCAAAATCCTGACATGGTCATGAACAATTGCCCATATCTTTGGTAAATTTCAAGCAAATTGAAATAAATTGTACATCATTGGAAAGAGCATTAAATTCTCTATAAATTTGTGCAAAATTGAGTTTGATAGCTTGAATAGTTTTTGAGCAATTGAGCCTCAAAGTTAACTTTTAGTCCAAATTTTGTCAAAAACTTCAAACTCAATTTGCTCAAAAACTATGAAGTTGGGAATATTGTTAATTACAGGCCATTTAGAACTTGATAAAAGCTACAAATTCTGGAAATTTTAATGCAATTTGCTCAAGGATTACCGAGCAATTGAGGTTTGAATATTTTGAAATCAGAATTCAAAGGGGATACCCTTATGAAAAATTCGATTTTTTTATTTTTTAGTTTTGTTGAATTTTGACTTTATGAATCGATAGAGCGGGTCAAAATTAGTGGAAAACAACCCTGATATCAATTCCAAATGGCCATTTTAAGCA